CCCTCTCCCGCCCCCCGAGAGCTCCCGCCGGCAGCAGAGGCTGAGACCTGGGGTCCCTTGGCTTCGTCTTCCCGTCCAGGAGGGGCGGTCGCACGCAGACTCTCTAACAAACAGTGTTTTACGAAAAAGAGAGCCGCCTCTCTGCTTCAGCAGCTTGATTTGGGTCACTTTCCCTTACCCCCCGCCCGCATCTCTGCAACCCTGGCAAGCGCTATGAGAGCAGCACAGTAACTTTTTTTTTTTTTTTTTTAATTTCAGGCTAATCTGTCTGCCCATTTACACACAGCAGGCTTTGTGCACTCCTCAGTTTTCTGGAATTACAGAAATGGCCTCCCCCCACCCCGGTACTGAATCCTCACCCGGTTTGCGATGCTGCGAGAAACAAAACAAGGGATACCATTGTACATAGTTAACAAGACACGGCCCTGGGAGAAGGAAGAGGATGGCAACATAAGCCCCCCAGACTAGAAAATATCAAGATAAGCGCAAAGGGAACAAAACCGCTGGTAAGACCAAGGAGAATCACTTGAACTATGAGTAAACTCTCCTAGCGAGCATAGTAAAAAACCCACCCTCGGGTAAGGGAAGGCCCCTACCAGCAGAGCCCCTTCCTCACGCACCATGCGCCGTAAAAAGGGAGGACGCTAACTTCAAGCGGGGACGAAGCATCGCCAGAACCAACGGGAACGAGTGACTGAAGCGTAACGGTGACAGCACTGGTAACTCTTGCTCGGCATGTCTCAGTGTTAACCGTGTGCAGCCAAGGCGTGCCAGCTTCGTGGAGCTACCACCTAGCACCCATCTCTGCGCAGCCGTGGAAGGCACAAGTATCTCGACCGTGTGTTATTCGGCTCTTTGCAGACCAGGTGAAGAACCCTGATTTTGGGATAACACTGCAACTCCAGCAGAGAAAGAATGATCCACTGAATGTAAGACTTGCCTGGAAGGCTGAGACTGCAAGGAAGGATGACAGCCTTTCACGTGAAAAATAAGAAAAACGACACGGGGAGATGACAAGAAGTTAGATTTGATTTAAGCTGCTGCAGGTGGCATTTTAGGATTTTGCAGTATGTACTTTTTGCGAATTCAAAGAATCCCTGAACGTAGCGTTAACTTTTCTGTTAAGCCTCTTTTATTAGTACAATTTAGGGATTTATTACCTTCAGCTTTATTTCCTTTAGCCTTTCCCGTTACTTCTCTATTTCAAAAAAAGGGAGTAATAAATAGAGACCACCTCAACTATAAGCTTTTTCTTGCTTTTCAGTATTTCGTAACATCCAACACCTCACATTGAAGACGACAGAATAGCTGATTTTTACAAGTCCAAATTCCTTCCCAAGTTTTTGTATCATCTGTTTCCTGGCACTATGAGAAGTGAGAAGTGTTTTGCACAGCACAGTGAATAAAATGTTCTAATTTTCAAGAGAAACAATTGCACAAGAACAGGCAGCGGAATCATCTTGAGGTGGTTTGGGCACGCGTTTCCCTTTTTGCACTCTTTGCTTTTCTTCATTTCACGCCTGAAATTCTGAGTTTCTTAATACTTTGTCTCTCTGCCCCAGTCCTTCCCTCCCCGAGCAGAGCCGCCATCATATGAAAATAGTGGAATTTTTTTTAGCACTGAACGTCAGTCTTAACATCACAAGAAACAGTTCAGCAGTCAAGATACCTGCCCGCTTCTTCTACTGACCGTTCAGGTCAAGCACGTTAACTAGATAATAATGTTATTGCATCCTTCCTTTGCAAAGAGTTTAAAGTGGGCCGAGCAGTATGAAAAGCAGCAGCATCAGTCTACCAATACACAAAACATTCAAGTGTGAACCATTTCTTAAAACAACCCCCCCCCCCAAAAAACCACAGCACACAACATCCCAAATTATAGTTCAGTATTACAATGTATTATTATGTGCAAAACTCACCATTTACAAAATGAAATACAAACATGTGCCAGGGGTTCAGATACATGGCAAACTGACAAAAATGCTACAGATCTCTGTCTGAACAATACACATGCTGCTCATGACATTTTTGTAATCCTCTGCCTTACGTTACACTGCTCACACTAGACTTGGGAGAGCCCCACGTCCCTCTAGAGAGTAGCCCTAATTGACTTAAGTAGGGTCCAGAGCGTCACCCATGGCATCGGCTATCTTGGACAAACCTATAGGACACACACACACGTAATACCATTTTCTCTCTGCATACGTAGGACTGACTTTCACATCTCGCCTACTGCGTAACTTAGAACCATGAAATGCTACAACACATTCTTCAGTCCAAGACACATTTTGATGTTGGTGACAGACTATACAAAACAGTTAGTGTTCTCCTTCACCTTACTGATATATTTAATCCTCTGCTAACACAAATGGTATCTGGGAGAGGTGCTGTCAGACCCCTCTGCAAATCTACAATACTGCTTACATCAAAGTTCCTTACCACCCCCCTCTGCTTATTTTCTGCAAGGAGCCTGAACCAGCAGACTAACACCTTTTAATCCTAAATTAGGTTCTCTGCATTCTTTCTCTGCCCCTCCTCTACATCCTTTTCTTTCAATTTCCTCTTCCAACCCCCTGGTTCTGTCTAAAACAATGCATATAAACAATAATCCAGGTAACAGTACATCAAGTTCAGATAAAGGCACTGAAGTCGCCAGTGCCAATGTTACAATCTTCTTACAGATAACACAAGTTTCATAAAAACTCCCCTGTAACAGGAAAAGAAGAGAAACCAGAGACTTTTAATGCAATACTCTAAAACCAGCAAGAGATTTATTCTTGTATATTAAATGTTAAAATTGCATGCATAATTATAGAATACTTTATAGTTAAAAAAATATTTAAAAAACCAACCCTGACAGTTTACCTGCAACTGCTATAAAATTTCTATTATATATATATATATATATAAAAACATGGTGATTTTCTGCAATTAAAAAAAATTAGGAAAGGATGCAATCATCCAGGTAATTATGAGTTAACTGATGCCCTGCATCGGACAGTCTTGTCAAAATCATGCTGGTGAAACTCAGCTCATACCAGCCGGTTTACTGAAATACTTCTCTGGCGTACATCTATTTAAATCAGAATGACATTTGGCTAAAGGATCAGTGTAAGAAAATAGATTTTTGCACACTACAGCAAAAGACCCCCAAAGGGCCACAGTATAATATGCTTCAAAAGAGTCTGTGGTACAAGAAATTCAGCCTCATGGACTGTTTACTCAAACACGCTGGTGGAATATTCCGCATAACTGGCCATATGCATGGTTTACGTGGGTTTTTGTAAGCTATGCTAGAAGTGTCTGCGCATGTTTTATTAGGCTTTATGGTTTTAAGACCTGTTTTAGCTCCTAAGGAGGGCAGCCAACAAAGATGTTTTCAACAGTTAACAAGGAAGAGAAATTAAATGATGAGTTGCTGGTTTTAAGAAGCCGAGTCATCGTTGTTTTGAAAAATGGCACCATATGGATCACTGTTAATGCGCTTGTAGACAAAGTGAAAGACCTGGGGTTGCGGACGGCTGTGCAACTCTGCCTTAATTTTCTGAGGGTAGGTATCCTCTGTCAGTTGCTGCCAGGTGTCGTCAACAAAAAGAAACAGGCTATATTCTTCTGGATTGTCCACTTTAAACTTTTCAGCACAAAGCTGACATACATCTTCCGTAGTGATATATGGTCTCACTAGTAAGGTCTTTCCTGTACATCCACTGTTAACTTCCTGGAATGCAACACGAAGGTAGTTCTGTAGAATGAGAAAACAGACATCAGAAACTCAAAAACACAAAACTTATCCTCTGAAAACTGAAGAGTCAGCAACAAACAGCAAGCCTCTCCCTGTTCTAGTTGTGAAACACATCGGTGATTCCCGTACATTATGGCCGCCTTGTGAATTGCAATGTTCGTGGTAAAACTGGGGCAAGCTTGGGGTGGGCATAACAGAGATTCGTAAGCCGGCGTCCTCCTTTCCTTGGCTTACATTCTAGCCCTGCAATTAAGAGTGAACAGATACAGCCTTAAAGCCACATGGAAAACACCAGTGGTTTCAATGCGACTTGATGTTTGGCCTTGCTAGGAAACAAAATGCTGTGAAGCAAAATGAAAGTCTGAGGCAGCAGGCCCGAGAGACGATGCTGCCACTGCTGGGTCAATACCAGAGAGCAGAAGCTTCACGCAAGACGTTAGTCAGAAGGAAAAAAACAGCCTCTGCCAGCGGCACACAAGGGTGTTGATCCACAAGCTACTGCACGATAAACTGTTTGCACTCTCACGCTGCAGCATGCAAAAGGTAATCCATCCTCACGCAGGACATTTTCATCGCGTTCACCAGTGGCAATTTGGTGTCTGAGCCTGACGTAACCAAGTTTCGTGCGACAGCATTTTCTTTTTTTAAATAAGGCTTAGAGGGATGCAGAAAGAAAATTTACTCTGCAACACTAGAGTAAATCCGTATGATCTCGAGGCAAAAGCTGCGTCTTTTTTCTCTGTTGCAATTGACACATGCCCACAACTCTGATAAACACGGATAAATTCTAAATATGCCCTACAAAGAAGAAATCCAGTTCTACCTTTCAAAAAGCATTTAAAAAGTAAAAGAAAAAGCAACAACCTGGGCGGGGGGAACAAAAAAAACTCTCGGACACATGAACAAAGCAGCCTGCTGCCACGGTGCTTTTTTAAAAAAGAAATTAGCTGCAATTAAAGAGTAAAAAGCAGTAAAATTAAAGGAGGTGGGAAAAAATGACAGCAAGAAAGACCTGTTTATTGACTGAGCTGTACCTAGGTTTGTATGCTGAATAAACTAAGCAAGCTAAATCACAATGGTAAAAATTTACATTTCATAAAAACAAGCTGTTAAAAGCTAAGACTGAGAAGAATGTTCATATGACTTAAGTTCCAAGGAACACTCTTGTCTTTAATAATGTATTTTTTGATAGCTTGCAGACTAAACACTGAAGCTTTGCAACAGCATTTAAACCACTGAGACTGAACCTGACTGAATAGAACTAATCTATTTTTGTTACCCAGCGTGAAGAAATCATTAAAAAAAAAAAAAGCTCTAGATAAGGCAAGACACACTACAGTTTTGATTTCTAATGCAGTTAACACACAGAAGTCCTGTTTTTAAATGCACGTCCTTTTAGACGGACAGGATTCCTTCAAGGAAACGCTGAAGTTTGTACAAATGCCTGTAACTCATATACTATCAAAATTATTTATGCAGTATCAGACAGTTGTATGTAATCATCATCAAAATACGGGATTTTTTGCTTTTCCATCCTTTTGAGGGAGGGAGGATGAAGGCCTTCAGGGCCCAAAAGCTGATAAGGCTGTGAGACTGCATCACAGAAATGCAGCGGTCACATCCTGGTTCAATGTGGGAAAGATGAGTTGAGCTAAAGCTGTGTTACACGTTGGTTGTAGGGAAGGTGCTTCACTTCAGGACTGCAGGACGTGGAGAAAGGAGATGGAAAACTTGGCATTCTGAGCAGGCAGCAAAATGCTTGAATTTGTGCCAAGCGTAGCCTGGAAGTGGTGTGATCTTACTGATTCGAGGCTCTCTTTAGAAAGAGACAACAGAAGGAGAAGCACTGGACCCAGTCGGTGCCAGGTCTTCCCCCATCCCCCCTGTATCCAGCATGGCATCCAGCTCTACAATTAGCTTGGCTGAAGTTCATTTGCTGAGGAAGAGAAGGGGAAACGAAATACAAGATCCTGACCTGCTGAAAGAATCTTCTGTCATTTAGTCATCCAGCAGAAATACAAGGTGATGAATTTTCCTATGGACAGCGTAGTGTTTTGCTAGAAAGAACAAAGACTGAAGCTACTTGAATCTGATCCCTAACTACAGGTAAGCAGAATATAAAATGGATCCCAGTAAAATGGACTAGCTTTGTGCATCAGTTCTCCTCCTCCTCCTAAGAGAGGCAAATTGTGGAAGACTGCTTCTTTTCCCAGCTCCTTCCTGTTCAGTGTTGTGCTGTAGTCCTTTGCACGGACACTGATAAAGCAGAAGGAGCCGCAACTGAAAGGCTTCATTATCTCCTGATGACCCCGCACCTTCATTTCTCAAGCTCTTAACTACATCATAACTAATCGATGGTTGTCATTAGCCTCTCTGGCAACTCTGTGCTGTGGTATGAACTGTAAACGAGTGAACACAAAGGAGTAAATCCTTTCCTTCTCGATTCCAACATCCTCCTTGCTTCAGTCCACAAACTGATGCATCTGAACAATCAACAGCATGCTATATGAAAGACACGAAGGCCTGGTTTTGAAAGACGAAGTAATCCCAACTGTTTTGTTATTCTTCAGTTGAAGTTACTGCCCTACCCTGAAAGGGCAGTAAGAAATGGAGGGGAGGGAAAAAACACAAACAAACATGAAGACATCCATAGTATAGAACTCTACTCCTTGCTTATGCTTTAAAACTGTAGGCAAGCTTTTCTCCCACCTCTCCTCTCCATTACCTGCTGTATGCCACCATTAGCTACTGGGGAGTCGTGCCGATTTATACCGCTGGAAATCTGGATTTGCCTTTTTTAACAGTAAAGCATACAAAGAAGCTGAACCTAAGATATGATTCAGTTTGTCCTCGCTCTGCATGACTTAAATAGAAGGGAGGGCGGGAAGGCTCCATTGCTTAGTGTTTTCTTTAAATCATCATAATCAAACTCTATTATAACGTGCAAAGACTTCGAAATAGAGGCAAATTTGCCAGCCATATTCTCAGCACTGCTTCTCTCCACTTACCTTGTGGCCCCAAGGGAATCGTTATGAATCATACCTCTCAAGTAGGGATTTCCAACAAAACAATCATCCCCTGTTTTTTTCTTCAGCCCTAAGCTCTACCTGAAAATCATCAACTGAAGGTATCGTCCTGTTAGTCGTCCTCCTCTTGTGCCATTGCCGGAGAGTATCTCTGGCTTCTGAGCTTAGCAGTCGGGCAGCTTGCTCTTCCTGGAAGTTCTTGATCAGTGAAAGTGCTCCATAAGCGCTTGTCAAGTAATAGCCTCCTGTGCAGGACAGCAAGGGAAGAACTTCTCAGACTGCTCACAAACACTGCGCTAGTTCCGACTGGTCACAGTCAGAAACACAAACACAATTTTTATGTGTGTATATACACACACAGACACACACGCATATGGAAGTCCCTGAACTCTATTGCCAAAATATTTATACATAAAGAAAAACAGCTCGCTGGCTTGCAAAATACTGGATGGTGTGTTCTCAGCTGCTGTGAGACACGCAGTGGTTGCATGCGCTCCATATTATCAAGTGGTGCAATAGTATCTAACTCCGGGTCCACTAGTGCTGGGGATAGCTGGTTACTTAAATGACTGGCGGCACTCCTTTACTCCTGAGTGTTTTTACGAAGTTGGAACATGAGTTTTCTTCTAAACGATTTCTGAACAGTGATTTGTTTTCTTCCCGACCTTCAAGGGTGAACGAAATAAACATAGCTGTTTAAACAAAGGAAAAGACACGCTACCACTGTTCAGGAACTTAAAAGCAACCACCCTTAGTGGCAATAAAGCAATGACTGTGTGATTTGTACCCTGGAAGCACCCCAAAGAGTTTGCTTTTGTTTTTAAAAGGAAGACTGTGTTTGTCACCTTCTTAGCATTCCCCACAATGTCCAACTAGTTCAGGAGGTGATGTGTGCAGTCTTCCATGCTTCACCTTTATTACATGAGTGGAGAACAAATTAAAGCCAAGACAGAGTTGCCAATGTACAAAAGAAGCTGCAAGTCACAAAGGAAAAGGAGTCTCAACAGGAGCTAACAGTCCTCAACAACCAGGAGAAACAAAAGACATGCTGTCATTTCTTTCTCTCACTCTCTTTTTTTTTTTTTTTTTTTTTTTTTTAAAGTAAACTATTTGAGTGGGAGGGTCCAATTACGAGGCAGCACAGTCTATTCATGGAGTCAGAGACTCATTCTACGCTCACAGTAGTATTTTCTGTATTACTGATAGCATCCTCTTGGCCTTTAGCTTTGCAACAAGTTTAATACATAAGACACGTGCAAGACCCATGAGACAAATTGGACAATACATTACATTTGACCTGCGCAACCCCAAAGCACTAAACAATCTTTCCTGCGCAGTATAGTTCAGCTGGTGCCAAAGACAGGGCTAGCCAACGGACGGACTTCTTTTGCTGCATTAACAACAACATGAATTAATAGTCCAGTAAATGTTGCTGCCTTTCAAGCATGTTAATGATCTCCAGCTTCATTTCTCAAGTATTTTCCATGCTAAGATTCCTGAACAATGCACTAGAGGATGCTCTATACACAAAGCAGGGAAGAGACTGGTGCCAAACTGGAGGAATCCTGGCGCGGTTCTCTCAGGCATACTGGCACGTAAGAGGATAACAGCAATTTCGGCAAGCAAAGAGATAGCAGGAAT